GTTTGTATGATAAAGAAACCTTGACTGTGCTCTGTTCTGTTGTAAAGCACTCGGGAAGCAGTTAGAAAGAAGTCAAGGGGGAAACACGAGATGTAGTCGAGTGTTTTTTTCCTACTTCTTGACTGCTCTATTCGCTTTCTAAGTGTTTTACAAAAGAAAAGATTACAGTCAAGGCCTCTCTATTTGTTTTATTAGAAATGGCCCGTCATTTTCCGCCCGCATCACTTTGTATTTTGAAAACAAATTCTAGTTTTGGAGGTGAAAAAAAGTTTCTACAGCATGTTTTATACAGTCCTAAAACACGCTAAAATAAGTCAATCAGAATTCTTAGTTAAAATGCTTGAATTAATCTGATTGGTTGAAGAGACCAAAGCTGGAAAAAAATTCAAACTATCAAGTTCACAAACCATCAAACTTCACAATCTGCGATAAAATTGGGTCACAAACTGAACCGTACGGCACGTCGAATTCAACACTTCTGCTGTAACTTTTAGTTTCAGTACAGAATTGTGAAGAAGTGAAATGTTCAGTGAAATCCAGTCCCATTGTAGCTCATAAAAACGTTCAAGTCTTTTTAATACGACAATAAGAAAACAAATTGCTCAGGGCGCACGTTTTATGCATAAACGAACCACAACCGAATTTACAGAAACATGAAGATTACTCGAGGCGACAGCGCCCTAAAACTCGGCTGCTTGGAGAAAGCTCTCAGTTGTTCACTCGAAAGGCGCACGATAAAATTTCGGAGATTTCCTTCACTGTAATGACCGGATATCGCCATCATGAGCTAGCCGCGTTGGACTACAGCATGATCGCAGTTGCCCTGACATCATCATGATTGTATAAATTTTAACATATATGCCAATTTGGTCATATCTTCCATCATTTCTGTTTGGTCCTTTTCTGTTTTCGAGTTGGAAGCTATATATATGCTATAGGAGTGTTAGCCCTGTTTCAGTTTTATTTCCGTACGAAAGCCTGTAATCTTACTGGGCGTGGAAGCCGTCAAAACTCAGACAGTACATTTCGTTTATCGTCTCTTCTCTCGTTATAATGACGTAAATTACGGCGCTTGGCATGTTTCAAAACTTTCTTCTGGTTTTTCTGTTGCTATTGGCCGGTCAGTCTTTCAATTAACGGAAAAAGGCTAGACAGAAGTTCGGGAAATGGTCGGACACAGTACAAATTGGCAAATGGCGTGACAGCGCAACTCCGTGTTTTGTACTCTGATGGAACACGCTCTTTCAACCAATGACAGCGCGCATTATATCCGAACTTTATCATAAATTCGAATAACCGTCAACTGAACAGTCATAGAGCCTAGAAATTGATGGCAGACGTCATAGCTAATCTCGCGCTGAACCCACTCACAAACTTAACATTCGAAGTACATCGAAAAGTCCCATTCGTTTCTTACTTGAAAAGGAGGGTCTGACGTTAAAAGCGTCACTATAAAATGGCCATTCATATTTGAGGATTGGACTTATTTTACGTACTAAAACTTATTTTTTATTCTCTGTTTTCTGTAAAGGTGTTGTTTTTGTTGTTGTTGTTGTTGTCGTCGTCTTTTTTTTTAAATTAATGAATTTATAATTTATGGATAAATTTTGACAGTACACTTTTCATACGAAAACAAATGTTCGGTGCAGTTTAAACACTCCTCGCACCTGAACTGTGTTTCTTTTGATATTTACCTCACCAACTACCGTGTTTGGGAAATCACAAGGTGGGGTTGAGGGTAGGGTTCGTTTGTTTGGAGGCCCCGCTAGATTTAAAGGGGGTTAATTTCCGCTTAAATGAAGGTACACACTTCAGCACTGAGGGTTGGGTGATAGTAGAGAAAAGTTTATTAGCGGACGGAGTTTTTAAATTTGTTATGTCAGGTGATGACTGTTGTGTTTCGGCAGCTGTAATCTCGTGAGAGAAAGGGAAATAAACAGTTTACAAAGAAAAGAAAATGGTGTCTTTGTCTTTAGTGGAGCGATTCACTGTATTTGAGAAGGTAATTCAATAACTTTCCTTGAAGAAAATTTTTATCTGCTTCAAAAATATGGTAACTGGGCTGGAAGAGCAAATCCACAGGCCCAGTTTAAAATTAACAGTCACATTTTAGTATCTATTTGATTCATTACAATGGTGGTTATCATTTCTCTTTGTTTCACTGAACGTTGTAATCAGGTTCTATTTGATAGGCAGAGACACCATGGTAAAAAGCAATGAGGCAGGCCACAAGAATCACCTTAGGGCTCTGGCATCTCATAATTTCAACAGTTAACAAAATCACATAAACAAAATCAATGATGACTGATTTATATTTCCTTTTACGACCACTTCTGGTAACTTTCGTTTAGTCGAACGCTTGGGGAGACACATCACTCAGAATACTTCCTCAACTTAACTTCTACACTGAATCCATTTTTAAGGTTGACAAAGACAACTCTGTTTCCCTTGTTTGCTTTAGGTGAAGATAGCGACTCAACCCGAACTATTGGCAAGTAGTCTGCCGGGGATCCATGAGCATATGCTTTTGTGGGTAGGGTCTTTAGTACATCATATCTCAGCGCCACTTGCATTTTGGTGTCTTCGCTCTCCATTTTGTACTCCTCTTTCACCTTTATGTCTTGTATTTTCTCCAAAGGCTTAGACGTAGGAAATGCAAGATCAGGATAGCTGATGCTCAAATAAAGGAACTTCGAATCTTCTTTCGCCATAATGAGGCAATCTTTGCTGACAGCCTTGATTGGACCTTCGGCTGGGAGCTCCATGATGGACCCGAATATTGCATAACCATACTGGGCGTCAATCCAATTCCAGCGTTCTGTGGTCATCTCAAATTTCACAACATGCGCTTTGTTATCCTGTTTCAAAACTGTGTATACTTTTCTTGTGGTACTAGTCGCCTGAGATTTCCAAACATCGCTGGCAAATTTGGGATACGATGGTGTTTTAACGTAAATGGCGTACTCATATTTGTCATCGGATGAACTATGTTCAAACCAGGCGGTGGCATAATAACCACTGGAAGGTTTGTCAGCTGGAGTTTTAGAGCTTTGGTTCTCAACTTTAACCTTGAGACTCGAAGCACTGGAACTTGGAATGTAGTAGCTATTGCCTTTCGTGTCAGTAAGAGTGATGTACCCCTCTGAACTTAAAGCCGGTGTCTCAGCGGGGAAAGGAGCTGACATACCTTTTGTTACACCATCTACTTCAATAGTGAAGGTCGATGAACCTCTTTGAAGCTTGTCTTGAAAGAGTGTTGTCTGTGCCTCTTTTCCAGAACCATTTTCAATTTTGATGTTGCTGCCTAAGCAGACCAATACGCTTTGGAAAAAGAAAACGGATTTTTTAAAGTAGAGTTTAATATTACGATGACGATCACTTACGTTTAAGAACTGGTAATCTGGTTGATGAAAGTCCATGGCGAAGAGTCCGCTTGCGATGGGCTCTGGCCCTTTAAAGGTAACTCCTCCGGCTGAAGATCGCGGACTGAAATACCTGGCTTTCTTGAGTAGCGTTTCATAAAGGCTTAGATTCATTGTAGTGGCTCCTGGTATTTTTGTCCAGTCCCATCCGTTCTCTATATCATGTGCCTTTAACGACTCCTCGTTGTTTGCAATAATCATCTGGCCATGGCTCTGAAAAATACCGTGTAAATTTTGACCCTTGCCCTGCTCAAAGTCCCAGACAAATCTGTTAAAGCCTTTCATTGTAACCGCCCAGTCTTCACGGCGATGAATAGAAAGAGCTGCAAAGTTCTTGGACCAATGCCCCTCCGGAGATGACTCAGCAGTCATTTTCTTATTTACACTGGCTTTCTGGAACACCTAATGACAAAAAGGAGTCTTTGTCACTTGTTCAAAAGAAAAAAAACCATTGTCGCGATTAATGCTTCTATATGATGTCATGGCACTGATAGCTTAACTAGTCTCATAACTTTATACGGCATCATGTGTAGGATGAATCCATCGGATGCTTGTGAGTGACAACCCAGCTTATGTCAATATCCCTAAAACATAAGGCGAGTATCCTGGTGTAAGATTCACCAAAATATCCAATTGTTTACACGCCGGGCCCTGTTGTTCAAAGGGTGGATAACGCTGTCCACTGGATAAATCTCTATCCGTTGGATAGTGCGGTATGTTTTGTTAACACTTATCCGCTGTAGAGTGATTTATCCGTTGGATAGAGTTGTCCACCAATCGAACAACCTAACTCTGATTTATGACCCCAACTCAGATAAATTGATCACTGTTAAACTACCATGAACTTTTGACTTTTTAGTTTACTCATGAATAAAATCTGATACTCCAGACGATTTACATCATTTCGATGCAGACCTCATAAAATAAAAGGAAAAAAAGTGGTGTTTATATGTAACTGGATTTTTTTTATCATTATTGTTATTATCAATATCATTTTATTTCATCATCAACCGACACGTTGGACAGCAGACTTAAGACGATCAGAATGAAAGCTGTATAATTCTCCATATATCTCAAGCACTGTTGCACGCCTATTACGTTAATTCGGATGTTACTTACTTGGCTCATTATTTCCAAAGACCCAAGTGTGTTCATGTAGGATTTCCCTCGTCGAATTGTTCCATCATTGAGGTATTCAACGACTAACTCGTCTGAATGTTGGTAAAGACGTATAAAAATTTTCACATCGCTAGTGACATCAGGCACAGATGCGCCAGCTTTTGGTGTTGAGGCTAGAGATCCTGAATGAGATACGCTGATGTAGGCGTATGCAGGGATCGTTTTCAATAAAACAGCCTTGGAGTACTGGGGAAAGCGTCCTCCCACACTACTAGGCGTAGAGTATTTCACAGCTATAACTCGTAGAGTTTTGAGTGATTCACGCAGGTTTCTTTTCGATGAGTCCGATAGAGCAAAATCAGTTCCCTCAAGAAGGTACTGCAGTTGTGACGCTGTATGCAATGCCTGCGGTATGTAAGCGGATCCATAAAACGCCTTGTGGTGGAAGCCAGTATAATCAGGCTTTACAACTCCTCCAAATGCTTTGTTGATTTTCAAGGCATTGTCCATCCATTTCTTACAAGCGTCCATATCTCTTTGTCTGGCTTTTATCTCTGCATCTGAACTTGTAGGCATCACTAAAACAATGATGAGCCGAAACAGCATTATAGTAATCATTCTGTCAGCATTTGTTCCATCAAATTCGAATTTCTTTTGATACACTTCTCCAAAGTCGTTGTACCATTTTGCGGTCTTGATCAAGTTAAGCAGTCTGCTCTTGTTTGTGGAATGTTTGTGAAGACTATCTTTAAGTAAAAGGATAGTATGCATATATGCAGCACCATTTCGATTCATCTCTGCAGTCAAGGAACCTAAAGCACTGCCATCTGCCCATCCTTGGTCTTCTACATAATCCAGTAAATTGATGATTCTTTGAAGACGAGCTTTGTTTAAATATTCCAATGACCGGCGCACTTTTGTTTTGTCGTAAGGGACCTTCTGTTGATTTTGGAGGAAGGAGTAAAATTCATCTCTTCTTCCTTTATGGTTTCCTGCGATCCGTTTTACGGACTCTTCTACCTTTGCTGGATCAGTAGAGAGAAGGGCTTGATTTGTGGTCTCTTTCTCCACTATCTTATCCATCTCTACTTTACGGGACCTCAAGTAATACTCCACCGCTAGAGGCAGCATGATTTGTGCCATAACAAAGCTAAACTTCCTTGTAGGATCCTTAGTAGAATACTTTCTGGTTCCTCTTTTGCAGGTGCGGCAAAACAATGGAGGACCACTGATCACTTTCTTTGAGTCTGATAACGTTTTGAAAGTAAGTCTATCATATTCCTTGTTTGCCTTGCCAAAGCTTTTCGTCATTGCTTTCCAACGTTCAAGCTCAAATCCAACGAAATCATAACTAGTTTTCTTCTCATGGCAATAGAAATTTTTAAAACGACTTTCGATGTGTTTTAGACTCAAAGTTTTTGATGCATCGACAGCTTTGGGAAGATCAGTTGGTTTCTGTTTACTCCAGCGATATGTTTGAAACCTTGAGGATGTAGCCACCTTCCACTTCGTTGTAAATGGTGGAACTATTTTATCGCGACTCTGGAAAGCCAAATTGTCTACAAAATCCAGTATATCAATAAAGATAGTATCCTTCTGGCTTATTACAAAACTGACTCGATCTAATCGAGCAGAACCGTAAATACTCCTGGAAGATGTCTTGCACTCAGAGTAGGCCACCCATATTCCTCTCCATCCTTTAAACCCAAGATCAACTGGAATCAATCCAATTGTTTTTTTCTTATTACTGTCTCTCAGCCGGATTTCCATCTTTCCGTCAGATTCCCTTTCCTTGTAAAGCCAGATTTTCATTCCTCCATACCGAAGTTTTTTCCCCCGGATGGACGACGAGGAAGGCCTGGTATATACTAGTCTCGACCTGCCAGTAGACTTTGACTCCCACTTGAGAGAGTACAGACCATTCTTTGCTCTTTCTTCAGATAACGACTTTGTGGAATCTCCTCGAGTTGCGAAGCAGTTGAGTTGATTTCTGTTCTCGAAATCCAGTAGTTCATCGCATTGGTCGCCTTTGGAATGAATTATTGAAATACAAAGTTTGAGAAACTGTAGCTCTTCTTAAGAGGAAACATCAGTTTGATAGAATATAATCCTGAGAAATTCTATAAGCGAACAACTACTTCTATTATTTTTATAATCATTGCTATTATTATTATTATTATTATTATTATTATTATTATCATTATCATAGTCATTGATTTTATCAGCACTATTATCATCATAATTGATGTTTTGCATGAAGCAGCATGCGTTGTAGAAGCTATAAAGTATGCTTTTAAACAAATGGTGATTTTTCACTTGAGCGCCATTATGCTTTATCTACTGATTTTCAGTTCACTTGTTCTCAGTTTCTTTTAGTTAAGCTGTTCATTTAACATACCACTTTCTGATGTCAGACTCTCTGCAGAATCCAGTAAGGCTAAGGCGAAACTGGTCAGTAAATGAAAAACAAGTCTGGCTCTTTGCATTCCTGTAGAAAATGACCTGACGAGAAAGAGAAGCCATCGAGTGTGGTGATTTTTTGAAGACAAGACGCAATTTAAATTAAATCAATTGTTATGAAGTTCTTCATATCTTGATATAATTAGAATGTTTTATACCTAAGTAAGGGTCCAAAGCCTTACAAACCTATTGTCATTGTTAATAAATCCAAGACATTCGGATGCTGCTTTTTGTGTGCGCTGATTGGCTGGCTCTGAAGTGATTATCAACAAAATTTACTTCCGAGCAGCTGAGGAGACAAAATCGCTCGACCAGAGTCTCATTTCCTATTTATTTTCAGGAATATGGACAGTTATGTCGGCTTGGAATTCTGATATTATGACACTAAATGTTAAACTTACTTCAAAAATGACAAAAGGCTAAAATAATTAATAAAAACGAGTTTCAGCAATGAAATGTCACTGAGAAAATACTAAGAATCTAACTACTGAATTCACTAAGCCCATCTTATCCATACCCAAGAGCGCGAATGAATTTCCATGTGAAGTACAGGTTTCCACCAGGTGTTATGACAGGTTCTGAAATAAGCTTTCTTCTATTATAGCCAAAGAAAGGTAGCACAAAAATGATTTGTTTGATTTTGAGTGAGGAGTGTTCTAGGCCTCAAGTTGAGTGTGCCAGGTTTACATTTCCAGTGCGGGCATATACAGGATGATGAAGACTCACTGCGTTGATTCAGTTTATAAGAGCGTTTAAAAATATAAATATCGCTGAAGCATCACTTAATCGTGGCTCTTTTCTTTTTCTTTTTTTTCGACACCGAAAGGAATAAAGCGAGGGTCTAAGTGTTTAAAAAACCTGGCTCACGTTGATATGTTCGCTTGATAACCAGGAAAACTAGGAAAACATTGTGAAACGATAAGATAATGTTACGCGGAAGAACTAACGCAAAACTGGAGAAAAAAATATCTTCTGCCGGGAAATCATTGAAAGAAATGAAAGGTCACACTAGAAAAATCAAAGCTCGACTAAAAACTTTTTTTTGCTTACTTTTATTCATTTCGCAATGAAATTTTATCAATTGGGCTAAGTTGAAATCTGTTGGTCCAGACCCATAATCTCATGGCTCGCGTTAACTAAGAAGGTCGCGACCACCTCGTCTTGCAGGTTTGTTGAAGTTACGTTTAAGCTTGTTTCCCTTACTGAAATGAAAACACTTCAAATTTCTCAAAAAGGGCTTTTTGTTAACCCCTCTTGCTCTGTGGAGATGGGTTAGTTTAAGATGTCCAAAATTGTAATGGGTGTATTATTCATTACCTTACACTAAAAGCGTGCTTTTGAAATAATTTCTGCAAGTACCCATGTCTAGTAAGTTTAATCCCACGCACTGGGAAAGCTTGCTCATTGATTTCTGAATCAACTGATCCTGTCATTGGGCTGACATTTACAAATTAATCTAGGTTATCACAAACAATATGAATGTCAGGAACGGGATACGCTTTGAATAAATGACATTGAATCCGGAATTACATTGGGAGATAGCAGAAAGATAAAAGACGATCCAACCAACCTTGTCTCAGTAAAGAGATAAAATGCTTTTGCTCTTATTGTTTTTCTTCCAGAGCTAGCTGATCAAAAGAATATTAAAAGGTTACGCTTCTTCCATGGCTAAAAGCAGGTCCGGCTAAGGTGGAATTGGAAAACTTGGCGAGCCATCATTGGCTCTCAAGACACATAGTAAATCTGCTCGGATTAGACAATATTGCAAGTGCACAGGTTCATTTTTCAACTACCCAAGGCATTGTGAAGTAGGCAACCTGCTCATACGAACAGGAAACTTTGACTTAAAATACACACATGTAGGTCCAGGTGAAAAACCGTAAACGCTCATTAATGAAAACTGCTCGTTTGTTGGATTACGTTCGATTACAAAGCAATAACATAGAAGAAAGGTTCTAGATTGTAATTTAGCATGCTCCTTGGCGATTTGCTTCTATGAATTATTTATCTAAGGTTCTTTAGCTTCTTGTTAAAAATTCTGCCTTCATTGTCCGGTACGTCATTTGCAGGGACACAGCCTTCTACAGTTCAAAATTACCTAAATAGTGAACACCATGCCATCAAGCTTTCAACACAAAACAGAAAAAAAATGGCACGAAAGAGTAGCTAAAAGTGCTGTTTAGTAAACCAGAAATAGAAGTGTTCTTCACGATAACTTAAAACAAATAGAAATAAAATTATATGTAATCAAATATTCGTGAATCGTTCATTTAAAGAGATAGACCTATCCAATAGTCAAAGCAATATTTTAAATAAAAAATGCAGAGGTAAATAACCTAAGCCGAATGAAAGTCGAGAATTGTATATCACAAGAATCAATTTCCGTCCATTCTTATCTCATCTTTAGTGCAGAAATGTATTTCCCTTTTCTTTAACCTGCCCTCTCGATATATTATTTCATGCGAACTGTCACTCATAAACAGAAAAATCGATTAAAAAATTTTGGCTGATCTCTTTTTCCGTCTTTGATGACTCACAGACATTATTGATATTTATGATACGTTCTGTTGATTAAGAGGAAGCCATGATAAGGGTGGCGAATGGTAAACTCTAGTAAGAACTAGTAGCAGTTTTGGCCTCCCGCCACAGAGATATCATTTCAGTCCCAGAGATCAAAGTTCCCTGTTGATGTCAACAGGTTGTCTACTTAAAAGTGCTCTGGTTACTAGAAAAGTGAACCGGTACATTTTGTAATATTGTCTAATGAAAGCAGATTTAATGAATATTTGAAGGACCAGTATTACCTTGCCAAGGTTTCCAATACCACTTTGAACTGACTAACTTTCAGCCAAAGAAGAAACGGTTATCTAAGGGTTATTCTGACCTGTTCTGAGAGAAAAAATCAAATCGTAAACTCATATCAGTATTTCATATCTTTACACTGAAACAAGGTTGGTTCGACAATCTTTGTCTTTTACGCCATCTCCAAATGTGACAATCCAGTGTGAGATTGAGTGTCATTTGTTCAAAGCACTGCCTGTTCCCTACATTGATATTGTTTGCGATGACAAAAAAGATTTATTTGTAATTGTCAAACCAATGACAGGGTCATACGATTCAAATTCCAAGAACAAGCTTTTCTGGAGCGTGGGACAAAATTTGCACGAGGTATTTGTATAAGATATTTTAAAAGCACGTTTGCGTATAACCATGAATCAATGATACACCCATTGCAATTTTGTACACCTTAAAACATCACTTCTCTAGAGTAAGAGGGTCTAAAAAATAGCGTGATGGGATATTATGAGGCGTTTCTCATTTCTGATGGGAAAACTACCCTGAAGGAAAGCAAAAATCCTGGAAAATGTGGGCTAAATGGGTACCGCCCTTTATAGTTTATGTGAGTCAGAAAATGGGTAGGGTACATCTGGTTGAAATAACCAAACATAGTTTACGACTGAGGTTTGACTTTTCCACTGACTTTTCTTAAAATTATTTCTTTACCATGATATATTTTTTTTGGTTGTGCGAAAAGCCTTCGAAAAAACGTCGTTTAGGACTAGAGTGTGGACTCAATGTTTCTTCCAGTTTTCCTGGCTGCCGAATCGATAAGAGTGGGGCAGTTCTACAAAGCTCAAACCCTGGCTTAATTTCTCTAAGTTCATGAATTCTTCAAGTTACTTTAGTGGCGAACATAAAAAAAAAATGCCAACGGCTAAGTGAAGCTTAGATAAATTCTAGACTATCTCTTCGAGAATAACTCTATTTCTGTAAACCCATCAATTCAAACGATGCAGTATGGAAGCGACTCATGGCTCAGGGAAACTATCCAATGAGACTCACTCAGAATCGTGAAGCTCTAGCGTGGTTAGGGATTTGGTCCATTTCATTCTTGCACCGTCTTTCTTTGGAGGCGATGTAATTAAAAAAAAGTATTCTCCCTTTCTTATCTGGTTATTCTCTACAGACATGCAACAAACCTCATTTGCATTTCTTGTTCTGATCAGCCTCGCCTTTTTCTTATTGGATCTTGTGGAAGGTAAGACATTAGGAAGTGGTATGTTGCAGAACAGCTTCATATAATGAGATGACACAATTGATATAAAGGAGATCAAGTTTAAAGTTCACGATTGATTTAAAACTATACTTAATAGATTCTAAAACGCACGGCGCCAACGGTTAATAGTGATGATAATAATAATAGCAATAATGGTAACGATGATAGTATTAAAGTTGTTGGCAGGACAAGTTGCTGGTTAGGAAATTCTTTTTACAAGTATTCAATAATTGCCGAACAGGGAGCAAATGTAACAATTTTGCGTATACACGTTTATTCCTAGGCTAAAATCAACAACCAGTCAGCCCTTTACAGTTTCATACGCCATCTTTTCTTTTTTTCTCATGAAGAATTACCAGTTTCAATCTTGGGTTTCAGTCTTTTAAGTCAAAGAGTTCCCTGATATTTCAACCTAAGAAGAGTTTGTTGCTCAAACAATACTTTCCTTAAATTCATTTATTTTAAAGGCAGCCAATGCGATGAGCTACTGGATTTCGAGGACAAAAAACAACTCAAGTGCTTCGCAACTCGAGAAGGTTCCATTAAGTCGTTATCTGATGAGAGAGCAAAGAATGGTCTGTACTCTCTCAAGTGGGAGTCAAAGTCTACTAGCAAGTCGAGACTAATATACACCAGGCCCTCCTCGTCGTCCATCAGAGGAAAAAAACTTAAGTATGGAGGAGTAAAAATCTGGCTTTACAAGGAAAGGGCGTCTGACGGAAAGATGGAAATCCGGCTGAGAGACAGTAAAAAGAAAAAAACAATTGGGTTGATCCCAGTTAATCTTAGATTTAAAGGATGGAGAGGAATATGGGTGGCCTACTCTGAGTGCAAGACATCCTCCAGGAGTATATACGGTTCTGCTCAGTTGAATCGAGTCAGTTTTGTATTAAGCCAGAAGGGTGTTATCTATATTGATATGCTAGATTTTGTAGACCATATGGCCTTCCAGAGTCGCGATAAAATAGT